ATGTTATTGCTAGTCCTGTTAGTATCCAATTATTGTGAGCTTCGTTATTCGTGTTATATAGTGTTATCATTCATATGATCAGTACCGATGCCATTATCACTGTTAGCATGAGTTTTGGTACGAGTATAGAATTGAGGTTTACGCTTATGCACGTATGATTGTTAGCATTGTGATTCCCTTTTTTCACCCTCTTCGATCTTGATCGGCTCAGGGTGTAAGGGCGGCGTGAAAAAAAAGAGGGAAAAAAAGGGGCGGGAAAAAGAGGGGGGATGGATAAGGACGGAAGAGCAGGAGGTGGCGAGGATGAGGATGAGCAGCGGGAGGATGTGGAGGAGGAGGGTTGGGTTAGGGATGGAGGGTTTTGGAGGAGGAGAAGGAGGGGGAAGGGGGAGGAGGACGGGAGGAGCTAAGGCTTGGGCAAGGAAGCGCAGCATAAACAAGAGGTTGTTTCAGAGGCTCCAGATAACAGAGGCGCCAAACCAGGAAACCGAAACTCATACCGTGGCGCCAGTTTCACAAGTTGACCAGATGACGATCCGAGCAGAGGATTGGGCCGATAAATCCAAGTACCTCGTTTCTCTCCATTGGGACCCCTGGAAGCTGGAGGAGAAGGGCGGAAGAAGAGGAGGATGGGGGGGGAGTAACGGATCGGATCGCACAACATTGCGCACATATCGGTTTTCGGAGGTGCGCGCGGCTTTTCCTAGGCCGAAGAGGTGCAGGGAGGGACGGCCGCGGAGGACAGACCAGGCGCCTAAGCTGTCTTGCGTCTGTCGTGTGTCACGCACGATGTGGCAAAGGAGTCGTGTGGTTGTTCCGGTCGGTACGACGCACGACGTCAGGACATCGGGGCCGACTGCCGCGATCCTCCGGCCTGGTGCCTCGCCTGCTGGCTCGAGGAGGGCACCAGGGGCTTGTCCCCGACTCTGCGTCGGGTCTCCCCGGGTGGGCGGCAAGGGCGTCGCCATGCAGCGTACGGGCCCCGAGGAGGAGGAGGAGGAGGAGGAGGAGGAGCCCGAGGAGGGTAACGATGTGGAGGAGCTATTGCAGTACGGGGAGAAGGTAGGAAACAAGGAGGACGGGAGGATGATGAGGAGGAGGAGGTGTCGACAGGGCAGAGAGAAGGGCTCCTTCGTCCATCTCCCGGCCTTACTTCCTCCTCACTCCCTCCTCTTCCACCTCTCTTCCCTACCTTTCTCTCCTCCCTATCTTCCTCTGATGAAGTGTTCTGCAAGCTCTCTTTGAATGCATCGTGCCAGTTCCCATCTGTAAAGGCTGGCGGGGAAAAGGAGTGCGTTCCAGCACCAAAGCTCGTGAGAGCTTCTCGGCGGGAGTGTTCATGCGTGTAGATTGCTGGGCGTTGGCGCTGCGAGTCTTGTCGTCGCGCCACTCGCACAGTAGCTCATCGGATCTGATGGGTGTTCCCGGGCCTCCAGCTCGGAAACACATTGGCGAAGTGAAATGCCTGGGCAATCGTCACAGCATGATTTGCCTGCCTTGTTTGGATCGTTCCTCTCTTTACTTGCGTGTTTTGCATGTCCTGTGTGTCCACGGCTTAGTGGGCCCTGGGAACGACGTGTTTATTGTTTGCCGGTTCCGTTTTGCTGTTTTTGTTGGCAGTTTCTGGTTCCGTAGCCGTTTTTTGTTGCCAGTTTACGGGTTTGGTTTCAATTTTGGAACCGTTTAATTTCCGTTGGCGGTTGCAGTTTTTTCACTGTCTCCATGTTCAAGAGATTTTTTCGGAACCGGTGAAACAACGACCTTGCCGTTTCCGGGCCCCACTAAGGTTTTCACCTGACATTTCGAGTTTGTATTTGAAGCGCTGCTCAAGGACGTCCATCTTGAAGTGGAAGTGGAAACGACTGTTCCGAGGGACCTGCCCCCAGCGTGGGAAGGAGCAGGTGCGAGTTTCGTTTGACGTGCCTCTGCACGTGGAGCCCAGGCGCGCGCCGGGGGCCAGTTCAGGGCGTCAATCCGTTGCCTTCCGGGGTTCGCGCTGTGCGCCAGGAGGATAGAGATAATCACTGCCAAGCAAAAGTCAATTCAGCGAGGCAAAATAATAACGGGTCGTCTGTGCCGACATTGGCGCGCAAGCTGACCGCGTGAGGTCGCGCGTAAGCGCCCTCGTCTCCGATGTAGCGTTCCGCGCTGGCGGCCTGCGTGAGCCACCGCGTAAGGTCGCGATGTCATCTCGCGTGGGGCACGCTTCTGATCGTCGCTCAGTTCTCTCTGCGCAGTTGCTGGAGCCCAGCCCCAAGCGCCTTGCCAAGCCAGCGCCCACGGCGACTCCGACAGCTCAGACTAGTTTGGCGGCTACGCTGGGAGGGGGGCCTCGCTTCGCCCCGCTTCATTATCCTCTCCGGTGCCTCTCGCAGGGTCGTGCCGCGAGGTGTGGGTGGGCGGCTCCTCCATCTCGCTGGCTTGGGCCAGACAGCTTCTGTCTCTGAGGTTCGCGGGTCGAGCCTCTGTCCCGCCCTTCGCCTCTTTGGGCTCCTCTCCCCAGGCGGCCATGTCGTATGGGTCTCGCTGCGCCCGTTGGGATGTTCATTCTCGGGTGGGGGTCGCCTTTCGCCTGTGCACCGCAGCTGGAGCCCCCTATGCAAGACAAAAATCCGCATTCCCTCTCCATCCCCCTCTCCCTCCCCATCCCGCCATCTGCCGTGCAGCACGCAGGAAGAGCAGGATGAGAATGAGGTGAATGTTGAGCTGAGAGGAGGAGGAGGAGGAGGAGGAGGAGGAGGAGGAGGAGGAGGAGGAGGAGGAGGAGGAGAAAAACAAAGAGGAGGAGGAGGAGGAGAAAAACAAAGAGGAGGAGGAGGAGGAGAAGGAGAAGGACCAGTGTAAACCCAACATTCATCAACGATATGACAATAATCTCTCCCTCCAATTTCCCTCTTCATAGGCCCATACAAGGATTCATTTTCACTGAGGGGAGTGCCCCGGTGGAAGACAACCGTTTCAAAATCTTGAACTGCGCCAGCACACCATTCCTGGGATTTCAACGCCACGAATCACCTTCACTATTGCGTCTTGAGGGTCCTTAATCGTACCAGAACACCATTTTGGGGATGCTACTACCACGAATCAACGCACTTGTTGCGCCCTGGCATGAGAATTCTTGAAACGGCTGTGCACTCTTACAACGAATGTGCGGGGTACTAAGGCGAGAGCCACAAGTTGAAAAGGAGCCGCCTTCCATCCGTGACTGTTTTAATTATCTTAATGCGAATGCGCGCGGCGCTAAGGCGAGAACCACATTTTTCAAACGGCCCTTCTCACCCGTGCAACTGTTACAACTGTTTAGAAATAATGTGCGCGGCGCTAAGGCGGGAGCCACATGTTGAAAACCACCCACCCCATCGGTGAAACTAGTGCAAGCTTTTAAGACGAATGTGCGCGGCGCTAAGACGAGAGCCGCATTTCGGAAACCACCCGGCCTCCAAGCGTGAAGCTGTTGAACATTTCCAGCTTCAGGATATACATGGTGAGGAAGTCTCAGGCGAAACGCTCAGCCCGCTTTTTCGACCGGCCTCGGGGTGCGGCAGGGAAGAATCATTTATAAGATAGACGAAGGGAGGAACAAACAAACGAGGAGGAGAAAGAGGACGAGAAGGACGAGGACGAGGAGGAAGAAAAGTAGCAGACAAGGAAGAAACAAGCACTTGTCCCTCCCCAGCCTTCCTTCTTCCTCACCCCCTCCGCTTCTTCCTCCTGCCCCTCGCCCCTCCCAGATCTCTATTATCGTTTTTTCCTTCACTGGACCCCTGGAGGCAAGGACCTTTCCTTCGGTAGTGTGTTCTCAACCCAAGCTCAGCCCTGGAGCCCGATGAGGGCCCCCCCGATGCCGAAAGCGGCCAATCACTTCCAGCCGTGTTTTTTTTGTTTGTCTCAGCGAGGGGAGGTGGGCCCTGACATACGGCGTCCCGAAAGGAATGCTGCATATTGCAAGATCACAGCCAGAACCCCTGGGCCCACAGGTTCTGCGGCGTTTCCCTGGCCCGTCTCGACCCGAGAGAGGGCCGCGGCGCCAGAAACGGGACGAAATCGCTGGGTGGGAACCACAGTGCGACGCCCAGATCTCAGGGAGCCCTCCTTTCCCTTGGAGGAACCAGAAACGGCTTCCCCGTCGCAGCTCCGTGCGCCTCTGGCGCCCGCCTCCTGCGCGCTCCGCGCGCCAGGGAGGGGGACCCAGCTCGTGTCTGAGAAGGCCGCCCGGAACTCCCGAAGTTTCTGCGGATGCCGTGGTATCTGTTTCTCCCCTGACGAACCGACAGCACACACCCATACCCACAGGGGCATCTGGAAGGGCTATGGGTGCGTGTTGTCGGATGGGGGTTCCCGCTCGAACGGGAGCGTTTCCCAGGGTCCGACAACCCGCACCCATACCCATAGCCAGTCCTCCTCCCAACGACCTCCCTATGGGTATGGGTGTGTGTTGTTCGTTCGTCATCCCCCCCCTGTCAATGATCCTCAGGACGCGTGTTGGCCCAATGTGTGATTTCTTCCCGCTCGGATCCGCCGCCACCGCGCGGCCTGCGCCGGCCCTCGACACACCGCTTGCGCCGTGCTCTGGGGCCTCGGCGGACAAGCAGACCTTGCCCCTTTTTCTGGATCCGTCGTCCTCCGAGTCCGCCGCGTTGGGAATGCAGGAGGAGGAGGAAGAGGAGGAGGAGGAGGAGGAGGAGGAGTCCCAAGCGAAGCGCACAAGTAGGGCGGACATGCCCTCCTGAGAGCAGCATGGCGAGAAGAGCGGCACCAGAGGAGCTGGAGCAGCAGGGCGAAACTTCCCGCCCTGCTCCAGGCGGCGTCCAAGGTACGGCGGATCTGAGCTCTGGGAAACCGACCCCGGCCCCCACAACGATGGATTTTACACGTCAGCGCCCCTGACTCCAAATCCGATCACGTCAGCGCCCCTGACTCCAAATCCGATCTGGGGTCAGGGGCGTCGGCCCTGACAAACCTTTGGGAGGACCATCGACTCTTGCCGCGCGGCGCGGGAGGCAGCGGTGATGGGCACCGGAGGCGGCGCGCGCGTGGCGGCCCTCGTGCCGCCACCGGCTGGGCGCTCTCTGGGGCCTGTCGCCCGCCTGCCTCCCCGGGGGGCGCCCGTAGGGAGCAGGGAGGAGAGAGAAGAGCGAAGTACGGGGAGGAGGGGGAGGAGGAGGAGGAGGAGGAGGAGGAGGAGGAGGAGGAGGAGGAGGAGGAGGAGGAGGAGGAGGAGGCGGAGGAGGAGGAGGAGGAGGAGGAGGAGGGGGGGGGAGAAAGAGTACCTTGAGATCCTGTCGGCGCATTCTTCACATGCGGTGATTCTGCCTGGATTCGGGCCCGGGGGCCCGGACGGATCGATCGGGCTCGAAAGACGCCGCAGAAGACGGGGTCTTGGGCTCCGGTCCAGCTTGTCAGCGACGTTGCATTTGTGTCGCGACGTCGGATCTCAGGAGGGGCTCCCCACCCTTTCTCCACTGCGGTTTCAGAATGTCTTCGGCTTCTGGGGGGCCCTCACCGGGTCCTGGGGCCATCAGAAAGCGGCCAGGGATAGAAAGATTGTCCCAGGGAAACGGTCCAGATTCTCGTCCGCGTTGGCAAACAAAAGCTATAACGTCGGGAGCAGGGGGGAGGATAAGAGGAAACAGGAGGAGGAGGAGAGGGGAGGCGAAGTGTTGGAAACGCATTACACATGCCACCGCAGGTCTCGAGATGCAGACTGGTCGCCCAGCCCCAGAATGTCCAAAAGCTGCGACTACCCACCCCCTCCCCTCCCCGCCCAGATCCTGGATGCCGTTGTTCATTTCGCCGCCGCATAGTTGTTTGTTTGATTGACCCCTTGGGAAGTATACGGGTACACATCTACGTATGATAAATAGAGAGAGAGAGAGAGAGAAGGGAAGAGACATGCGGCTCTGGTCGGCGAGAAACGGGTGCCCGCCGTAGTTCGATAATCACTTGTGCGTGCGCGCTCGCGCGTGCATGAAGGCGCGCGCGCGTGCGCGCGGCGGCGTCCATTCACCGTACGCGGTAGTCTTCGGTGATAGATGGGCTCATTGCCGTTGCGCCCACCTTCCGCCGAGAAGAAACGAGGAGGATGCGGACGAGGAGGATGACGACGACGAGTAGCAAGAGGACCAGGTTGAACCCACGATGCGAGGAGGAAGAGATGCCCAGGAGGGATCCGTGCAGCAGCGGTACGGGTAATTGTTTTGTCCCCCTGGCGATGCGATGATAAGAATGAGGAGGAGGAGGAGGAGGAGGAGGAGGAGGAGGACCAGAGTAAACCCAAAATGCATCAACGGTGCTGCAATACACTCCTATCCCAAGTCGCCTCCTCACTAGCTGGTCCTTGCAGGCCTTCTTTTTTCCACCGGGCATCCGCCCGCGCTGCAGGACGGGAGCCCCACTGGCACATTGGCCCGCAGTTCAGGCGGGAGCTCCCGTTTGCAAGACACTGCATTCCATCCTCCGGGCCACGGGAGCAGGCTACGCGGCGGGGCCACACAGTTCGGCCCAGTGACCGCCCCGCTTTGAACGGGAGCCGCCCTCCACCCGTGCAACCGTGGCACGGCTCGGGACTCTTGGTCATATTCTGCCACGCAGTCTCAAGCAAGATTCCGACGCTGACAAGGAGCCGCCCTCCATCCGTGTAGATTCTGCAGATTCCATCCGCCGCATATGTTCGGCAACACCCCAACATACTTATACTATATGTGCGTCGCCCCCCCAGGGGCGACGCGCGCACCGAGAAATCTTATAGTATATGCGTCGTGGCGGGCGCTTTCTGGCCACACCGCTCGGGAAACGATATACTACAAGATGGGTATACTACATGTTCGGGTCGGACGCGCGCCTCCAAGGAGGACATATAGTACTAGTATGTCTTTGTGCTTCCCATATGTGGCAGCACACGTTGATGGTGAAGGCTCAGGCGGGAGCTCCAGTTTGAAGAGTAGCCTCCGCCCACCCGTACAGTTCACCACATAGTCGGAGCTTGTAAGGCAAGTCCGCGCGGCTCCAACGCGAAAGCTACATTACGAACACGATTCGCTCTCCATCGGTGGAATCGACTGTTTAAGACGAGTGTGCGCGGCGCCAAGGCGAGATCCCCAGTTTGAATACGATCTTCCATTCATCTGTGGAGCTGTTGGAAATTCTAGACGCTTCGCGTAACCCCACCAGCCATACCGCCCTCTGGACTTTTCCTTGCGGGCCGCAAATCAAAAAGTAACCCCACCAGCCGGCAGTTCCCCTCAGCTCAGTCCCGGCAGCCCCCCCTTGCGGCCTCGGCCGCGCTTACTCGTCGCCTCGCCCGTCGCTCTGTTTGATTTTTCCCGCGTTTATCTTGCCTTATCGCCTCGGCCTCTTGCATGCGCACTCTGGCAGTACTGTGCCCCAGTTTTGCTGTTAACTAGTCATAAGTCTGTGGCGCGCCCCGCTTCGACTTGACACGCCGCCGGCGCTTCCGCCCGCGGCCGTTGACTAAAAAGTAACCCCACCAGCCCTGGCCCCTGGCCCTTTGTAGTTGTTTTCACATGAATCGGCGCGCTCCTTTCCCCGCGCCCTCTGCTGCCCTCCGTGATGGGGCGGCTCCCCCCCCCGCGGCTGGGCCACCCGCCTCGCCCTGATACCCCCCTGTGCTGGCGGCAGTGCGTTACAACGACCCGTTCGCCTCGGCCCCTCTCTCCCGCCGCTCTTGCGGCCCCGTCCCTCCGGGCTCGGGGCTCCCGGGTGCACGTGGTGCTGCCTGTGCACTCCAGGCCGCTGGCTGACCGTGTCGAGTCGTTCCACGGTTCTGGCTGCGGCGCCCGCAGCATCCTCTCGCTCCTCGGTTCGATCCTCAGGTGTGGCGCCCCCTGTTTTGGGCTGCCCTCTGTCGTCGGCCTCAGCTTGAGAGTGCGCGTGGCGTTCCCTGGTCCGGTGGCTCAGACGCGTACGGTGTCGATTGCATCCATCGTCCATCTGGCTACCTCGTCCGTCTCTGGGGCCTCCCGTGGCCGGACGCTCGCTGGACCGCACTCCCCTCGTGGGGGTCTTGGTGTGCGATTTTGGTGGCGCCACCTCGTGCACCAGTGTGGACCAAGCTGGACACCCATGGCAGTCAGTGTACCGGCTTGCCGCCACCCTGGTCACATCCCGGTACGTATGTGTCCCTCGCGCCATTTGGGCTGCGCCCCAACTTCGGTAGGCTAATTCTCATGCGCGCTTCCCTGGACCAGTTCCCTGGCAGCGGCAGTTAATTCGCATACCTGGTGGTTTCGCTCCCATGGTTTCGCACGTTTGCAGCCCCTGGCAGCCCCTGCACCTCGCAGCCCCCACCCCGGCGGCAGGTCCTGCTGAGCTCCGCGCGCGCGCCGGCAATTAGTTTCGCTCGTAGCCCGAGCCGACTCGACTCGCCGTTGGCGCTTTCGCCCGCGGTCTGCGACAAAAAAGTAACCTCACCAGCCCATCCAGAAGCGATGCCCAGACGAGTCGTCCTGATCAGTGATGTAGAGGATAATGCAGTGGAATGAAACGCTGGGCAAGACGTCGTACCCCAAGAGGGGGAGGATGGAGGAGGACTTGGAGGAGGAGCAGGAGGAGGAGCAGGAGGAGGAGGAGGAGGAGGAGGAGGGGGAGGAGGAGGAGGGAGAGGGGGCGGGGGGGCAGGGAGAAGGACGGAGGAGGATCAGGCGGATTGAGGAAGATGAGGAGGAGGAGGAGGAAGAGGAAGAAGAGGAGTAGGAGGAGTAGGAGGAGGAGGAGGAGGAGGAGAAGGAGGAGGAGGAGGAGGGCGAGCAGAAAGGCCAGATGCCTCTTGGATGCCCCTCGGACTCTCTCTTTGGACTTATTTCGAGAGCTTGTGGGGATACTCTCGGGGCGTCTTGGGGGTCTCTTGGCAGTGCCGATGGCTTACTGAGGCGTCTGGGATGCCTCCGGTGCCTCTGGGGGCCTCTGGGGAGCCCCTGGGAGCTTCTCGGGGGGAATCTCTTAAGGGCATTGTGGGCCTCTTGGGGCCTCCTGTCTGAATGCTACGCAGGAGGATGCCCTGTAAGGAGACACGGTTTTCCCGATACCCTGTCCCAGTGGTCCTCCTGCCCTGTTCTGCCATGTCCGTTCCTCCGCCATCCCTGGCTCGAGGCGAGGGAGGGCGGGATTATTTCTGACAAGCCTGGCCGTGCCAGGCAAACCGCGCAGCCAGAGTGCGCGGCCGCTCATAGCGTGGACATCAGGTGTTCACATCATTATCAAGATAATTACGATCATCAACACTCTCTTGCTCGTCCCCAGCATCTCCAGCGAGATAGCGATCGAGGACGAGTTCTACGATTCAGATTGGTAGCGGAGCCTGTGGTCTCCGACAACCACGGGCTTCCACCGGTCTCGGCCTGATTGGCAGTAGCTATGACTACCAACGGGCCACTTCAGCCAGCTGCGACGAGAGTCGACGTGCCATCGTGGAACGGTGAAGCGGATAAGCTGGCGAGCTACAAGTTCGAGATTTCCATGTTCACGAAGAGCATCAAGACTGCGGACCGCTATGTTTGCGGCCCGCAACTGGTGCGCGCCCTCGGGGCGCGGGTCCAGGCGGCGGTGGAGAGCTGCCCGGACATCGACACAGTTGATGAGATTGACAAGGACGGTGTTCCAGCCGGCTGGAACAAAGGGAAACAACATATCTTAGAGAAGCTAGACTACACCAGCCTGAATGACACGGGCCTCCTCGCTGAGGAGTTCTTCATGAAGGTCAGCCGTAGCTCGGGCGAGACCTTCCAGGACTGGGCCGCCCGGTTCGAGAAGAAGGAACGCGAGCTGCTGACGCAGCTCAAAGCTATCGACAGCACCGTGACTGAAGTGATTGCGAGACCTTTACGTACGTGGTGGTTCCTTCGGAAATCCAGACTATCCCTTGTGCAACGTGGAGAGATCACTGCCCCCGCGGGTGGCGACCTCGACTTCGCCAAGACCTACAAGGCCCTGCTGACACGGTTCCCAGCGGAGGCGCTGTCGGAGCTCGACGGCAAGAAGCGTCGTGACAAGGC